TGGTATTGTATTGATTCGTTGTATTGACTTAAGGTGTAGTCATTGAAACGTAATCTCTGAAATATCCAGAAGTTACTCGTGTTTAATTAAGAATAATCTTTGACGTTTACTAAGAATCTTCGTTGTGATTCCCATAGTTTAGTTTTAGCATTATTAATTTTGAGAATTTTATTTGAGTTACAAATCGGACGTAACAACGTATTCTGTGTAAATATTCTCAAGGACCAGTTAAATTAAAAACAATAAATTTTTGCTTACATAAATACTTGTCAATAATTTATATACATTACGTTAGTCTAATAAACCTTTAAAATATCATTTATAGTTTTTTTAATAAGAATAAATTAAAAATAAATGATTTATTTATTAATCAGATTTAAAATTATAAAAAATTAGTTTATAAATAAAATCATATATAATATAAATAAAATTAACTATTATTATTTCAATCAATACTTTATAATAAGTTATTATAAAAAAATGGTTTATATTTCAATTTTATTAATAAGTATTTTTATAATAAACTTTTTTTTATAACTCGATTACTTAATTATTTTATAAATATTATTTAATTATATATAGATAATTTAATTGGTTTATAATATTTAAAATAATATAATTTTATTAGTTATTTAAGTTTAAATAATTAGAAAAGTTTAAAGAATCCATCAAAAATAACTTTAATTGATTATTAGAATCACAATTATTATAATTTTATATTAGAGTAATACAAATATATTTACTAATACTATATTTTATCACATAATAAATTATTAAATATTTTTTAAAAAAAACGATAAAAAAAATTCAAATAAAAAAAAATACAAATTCAAAAAAAAATTTAATAGTAATTTTTTTTTAAAAAAAAGGATAATAATAGTAATTTAATAATTAATAATAAAATAAAAAAAATTAAATAGTTAAAATGAAAAATTAATAAAAAAATTTGTAAAAAAAATTTGAAATAAATAAATAATTAAATAAAATTATTAAAATTAATAAAATAAAAATAGAGAATTACTATAAAACTGTAACTGAAAATATTGTTAATGATCCAGGAATTATGAAAATAGCTATAAATAAAAAAAATATATAAAATTAATTATTAAAGATAAAAAAAAAATTTAAAAAATTTAAAACAAAAAAAAAATAAACAAAAAATTATTTTTAATATAAAAAATTAAATAAGTTAGAACAATTATAAACGTAAAAGGTTTATAAATTATTGTGTTAAGGATATTTAGGGTTAGTAGATCAATTACGTAATTAAATTTATTAATCAGATATTAGGAATATTTCATCAGTCCGAGGGGACTACGGCGATCAATTTCAAATATCGAGGGTGACGGGATATACTAAAATATTTTGTTATCTAACTATTTTTATTGATTACTTAAACGTCGCCCGAGTAATGTCATAAAGGGCCGAAATGACAATTTAGGTCCGAAATATCAAATGTCAGAAATGACAAAATCGATCGTCAATGATTACCAAAATTAGTAGAGATAAAAAACCATCGGTCTCTTTTTTAAATTATAATTCACCCTTATTAAAATAAAAACAGAATTTCCTTTTTTAAAAAAAATAGATTTTCTATTTTCAATCATGTATAGTATGCTTTGTAAAAAACGTTTTACTACCGAAAATATTCCCGATTTGACTGGAAAAGTTGCTATTGTCACGGGAGGCAACACTGGAATTGGATATATCATAGCAAGAGAATTATCTCGTAAAAATGCACATGTATTTATTGCAACTCGCAATAAAGAACGTGGCGAAGGTGCCGTAGAAAAAATCAAAAATGAGACTGGAAATAATCAAGTAGAATTTTTACATTTAGATTTAATTAGCCTTAAACTTGTAAAGCAATCTGCTGAAAATTTTCTTTCAAAAAATTTACCTTTACACATTCTGTAAGTTAAAATAAGCTGCAAATATTTTTTGGGGGGGGGTTAAAAATTTAAACGATCGATATTTATCATTTTAAATATATTTTTAGTATCAATAACGCTGGAGTTATGGCGACGTGAGTTTGACTCAATTGTGATTTATGTTACATTCGTAATATAATATGTTTTTATTCAATATAGCCCATGGTCATTAACTGAAGATGGGATCCAGGATCAATTTGGAGTTAATTACGTTGGACATTTCGTAAGTTTTTTTTTTTCTTCTTTTAAATTGAATCAAAGATTAATCATACCTTTTTTTCTTTAGCTTTTCACAATGACTCTCCTCCCTAAAATTGAAGCTTCGACACCTTCTCGAATCGTTAACATGGGCAGGTTGGTTTAAGAATTAAACTCGAAGTTAATCTCTCAGGTAATAAATAATTTTTTATTTATACGGAATTTTGTATTAAAAGCGAAGCTCATAGATATGCATACACCGGAGTTGAATTCGATAAGATTAATCAAGAAGATGCTCAATCAGCTTTTCAACGTTACTGTGCATCAAAAGTTGCCATGATCCTTTTTACAGAATCATTATCGAAACGACTTGAAGGCAAAGAAGTTTATGTTAATTCAGCTCATCCAGGTATATTATTTCAAAAAAAAAAATTGAAATGAAATGAAATTTCCGTTATGAAAGAAAATTGTGAAAAATTTAAAATTTACTTTTAGGGTTTGTTGCTACCGAAATTTCAAGAGGACCAATTAGTACTTATGGATTCATTGCAGATATATCATTCAGATTTGCTAATATGTTTGTTGCTTTATCACCTGAAGATGGAGCTTTAACACCATTATATGCTGCCACAAGCCCTGAAATTGTTGAAAAAAATTACCGTAATCAATATTTCGAACCATTTGGTAAAGTTGGAAAGAAATCTGCGGCAGCTCAAGATGGTGAACAAGCCGAAAAATTATGGAAATATACTGAAGAATTAATTGATTCAAAACTTCGTTAGCGTTACATTAGCTTTACATTTATTATTTGTCTTTGTTGTTAAAAAATATGAAAACGCTAGGTAACATAAAATTTATTAAGATTATAATAAATAAGAATTGATAAATTAAAAATTAATTCTACTTGAAAATATTATTTTTGTAAAGTTTATTATTACAGCAAGTACTAGTTGAAAGATAATTTCTAATCGCATCCTTTTATAATAAATCAATCATTATACTTGTATACTTGCTTTAAATGATTATAAATTTATTTCCAACGTCATTTTAATAAATCGAAACCTGAGAATTTTAATATTTAGTTTCAATTTTCAATAGTTTCGATTATTAGATATCACAAGAGATTTTAAAACCAAAAATTATCTTTATGCACTTTATAAAAATTTATTTTTACGACTGTATCAACTGACTGAAGCACTTTGTTTCTTTATATGAGCAAGTCACAATTTTTGAATAGAAAATATCCAAAAAAAATATAGGTTCGTTCGTCGAATCAAAATTTATTAACAATAAAAAAAAAAAAAAAAAAGACAAAAAAAGAGAGGATTTTTGTATATCGTTTAATTGCCAATTAGATGCGAGCGATCGAGAAAGATTAAAAGAAAAAACTAGAAAAAGCACCAAAAAGGAGGCTTTCAACGCAGCGGCACGTTGCAAACGAAAGCTTAAAATAAAAATACAAAATAATATAAAATAAAACGAATGAAAAAAGGTGAGAGAAAAATATATAAAAAAGGCATTACTTCCACTTCAACATCTAATATAGCTACAATATCAATATCAACCTCTATTTTTTTTTCTTCTAAGGTAACACCGATCATTATTGTTGCATATGCTTTTCGCTAAATTCAATTAGTTTAATGTTTCTTCCTAATAACTGCTATTACTGCTATCTTCACAAACTTTAAATATTCTACCTGATTTTTTTTGACAATTTTTTCACTAAAACTATCAAAATAACTATTATTCAATATTTTACAATAATCTATATTAGAAATATTCAAAAAAAATCTTTTCGTATTCAAGGAATCAACGGTTTCGAAAGTTGAAGCAAAGTAAAATAAAATCTGCGATTCCTTGGATGCATTTATAATTGAATTGTGCTTCCTTTTTATTTTTTTAATTTTAAAATGTCCATTAGAATATCGATCTGACTTTTCCTGTCATAAATTTTTTGAGCTGAAACAAGATTATTTTTTTTTAAATATGTTACATAGATTAAACATGCATGTTGGCTAGACGTGGACGTTCTGGATTCTGGATCTATTGCTCGTCCGCAGCGCCAAAGTGGAGCACGAAATCCGAACGGGAAATTAACCATAATATATTTTTTGTGTCACTTTCGAAATAATTTTATTGGTCATTTCAAAATGGATTAGTTTTTTTATTAAAAAAAAAAAAAATAAAATAAATAAGAAGGTAAAAAGCATTTTTCCACAAGTATCAAAGCTATCATAATTCAATAATCGATATTAGGATTCGCAAAATATGATCAATCGCATGGAATTATGGTGAACGTAATCTTTTAAATGAAAATCCGGGCTGGCTTACAGTGACATTAAATTTTGCTGGAATCACTTCGCTCATTCTTGCATATTATGATTCAATCGAATATAAAGGACCATGTGAATTTAAAAACTGTATCCAATACCTGTGCAACTGGATTATTTTATTTTGAAATTGACATTATAGATATTGTAAATCTTAGTAATATATTTTCTATGTTTTATAATTTCAATTATTTTAAATACTTAAAATTTTATTCTTCAAAATTGCATAGGAAGATTGGAATCGGGTTTTGCATCAAGAAACTAGACTAAATGAAATGTGATAATGGATACAAGTTTTTTATAGATGATGGCAAAACCAAATTTATGACTGGTGATATTATTGGATGTCGTTTATTTTTATGGTGACTATTATCTTATCACATGCTCGATTATTTAAAGTGGTGGGTTGGTTAATCGGATCGATTTAGTGCTAGGATAAGCTAATTAAAGATGAGGTGATTATATTTTATAATTGCGCAAATACATATTAATATTTCTTAAAAAATTCAAAGTCTGATGATCTTTTTAATTAAAATAAGTCTGACTAGAGATAATATGGGAGGTTGCTAAGAAAATCAGGTTCTGAGAACTTTTTAATAAAATTTTGATTTTTATTGCTGATGATGTTAAATTAAGAGTTAAATTTTATTAATTTTATTCAAAAAATTCTCTGAACCTGATTTTCCTAGCAACCTACCCATATAAGGAATTGATGACCAACAATTTATAAGAAGTGAGGAATATCACAATTAATTTCGATTTTGAACTGTGGAAAAATTTGCGAAGAATGTAAAGTCGTTTTCAATACATTTTTACTTCGATCATCACGGATTTTTAAAGAAACATGAAAAAAATTAATTTCTAGCATATAATATCCGCATCACTGCCCAACATTGCCGCAAATAATGGCCTACATATGTTATCTGACCTTTAGGAATCCGTTGATCCAGATTTTCGTGATGCGATTATATTTGGCAATTCCAAGGCTCGGTATATATCGCTACAAAAAAAAATAAAAGTAGTTATTTCATCTGTTAGTAAGGCAATATATGCTGATTTGTTGCTCGGTTATATCCATTTTCTTTAAATAGACGAGAAATCTTAATCAGCGGCGTTTGACTTTTAGCGATATGAAAATTCTGCGATCAAAATCACCACAACAAAATTATGGCATAATATCATAATTCGATCAGCAATGCATTATAACTATAGAATGTCCTGATTAATATGCTTCGTTAGATTTTTGTTTTACTTGTACGAAGTGATAAAAGGGACTAACTGATTGAACAATTTCGATATGTTTTGTAGATTTAGAGAATGAAATCGAAACTTGAGAAAAGAAGAATAATTTCTAAAATCGATTCAAGGGTTAAAATAACATATGAAGTTTTGGCGAAATGCAAAACTCCATCAAATGTGAAATAAAATCACAAATATGAAAGTCACGTGAAAAATCCTTAATTAAATGACTTTATTATAATAAATCGTATTGAATAAAGAGCGCCACAAATGATCTCAAAAACGGCTAAATAAACCTATTTGTTATTACAGGTTTCCAAAGATGTTGACAAATTTTGGTTCCGTAATATCTAGTCCAGCCTCTGGATTTGTATCTTCTGGCCATCTATTAAAAACAACTGCCTGGTAATCCGTAATCAAGTTTCTCAATATTCTTAATGAATTATAGTGCCAGTGTTTGAACCTTTTTATTTGCCCATTTATGCTTCCGAAAGGACGCTAGATGAAGGTGAAGATGGTACGCTTGGTGTAGGAGTGTCAAAATATGACTTCCGGGGTCCTTGTTAAATGCAGAGGTTTGACGATGTGCTTGGACAGTTACTGCTTTGTACATCGTAAATTACGTGGAGACGGCGCGAATTGCAAATATAGTTTGAACCAAAATTATACCATTTTGATGATTATTTACATCCCCAACTGCGAGCATCTCGGCAGCTATTTGCGTTTCTTTGAAATATGATTATTGGTCTTGTTAAAAGAAAGCTGTTAGAGTTGATTAATAATAAATGATTTTCAAAGAATCAAACCATACCAATTACTATTACAAGCTCAGGTCTCGCAATTATGAAAAGATCTTCGATATGAAAATGGTACCACTGCGCAAGTGGGCTAAATGTAAATTATAAGAAATGTGTCGCAAGAATAAAAAAAAAACTTATTCATAATTGCTTACTTAACACACAAGGAATATCGATGCAGGATAATAATATGAGCTAAAAGATTGAACATTATTTCAGCAGCAATACCCGTGTAAGCCTCGTTATATAATCTATCATCTAATTCCTTGGCTATTGCTTGCATATCTGTTATGAATGTTTTACAATCTTCATCCACAATTTTTGCAAGATAGTTTACATCAAATCTCCAGTCAAAAACTTTGAATCGTTATATTCGGGAAGAAAGTATTTCCTTGGAAGGACTGCGACTAAATAATATCAGTTTCGCAAAGAGAATACTTAAACAGCGTAGCTCGTACCTATGCGATCTGGGGTGACCTCATCTTCTATAGCTGGTTTAACTTCAAATCATTTTTGCAGAATCCACGGTTCTTAAGCGATTCCTTGGCCAATGTTCTTAAACGAGAAAGTTATTGTTAAAGGTTGATGAGATAAATACTGGCTAAGATTGCGTATTGAGAGACATCGCCAAAACTAGAGAAACATTTAACAATTTAATCTCTGGCAAGCGAAATACACCTCTGCAATCGGCACGCAACGAGGCTTGGCATTTTATGTAACTAATTTCAAAAGTCACGGTACCAGTTGATCATTTTGTCTAAAACCGGAAAAATAGAAAATAAAATCGCTGCACGCAAATTTGCAAATGACCGCAATTGCCATATTACTTGAGTTTAATCTTTTGTATAGACTCTACTACAGATAGCTAAGTTTGTAACGCGGTTTGAATGCTCTAAACTATTTATTTCAGTTTGGGATAATGTGATATATAATTATTATTATTTATTTTTGGGGTGATTTTTCACGGTTTCAGAGATGGGGTATGTATGGTAAGGCTATTATTATTTAATTTATTTATTTGTTTCTTATTATTAATTTGAAGTTAATCCCAGTATCTTTTGAGTCGGTTCCGGTATAATTTTAAATTAATAAAAAATATTTCTAAACACAGGCAACTCAGATTCGACATCAATGAAATCAGGCACTGACGGCTAGCTTTTGATAACATATAACATAGCTCAATTTCATATTTCTTTTTCTTAACATTAATTCGTAATTTAGTCTATTTGTAGGTTATTTATTTCATTCATATTTCATAAAAAGTTTAATTCTTATTTTAGATTACATTATCGCTGAGCTTGTGTATGCTTTTATTTTTTCGGTTATTAATGGCAATTTTAGACGAGTTTAAACTTTTATTTACTCCTTATTTTTCATTGTAATTTTGAATCAAGTTTGGCTAAGTCCTCATCTTTCCAAATCACCTTATACATTATTCGAGTTTATATATTTTTTTTTTTTACCTCTTGGGAAGTGATTTACCACAATTAATTCAAAAATAGAAGCCAAAAATCCTAACTTTTTAAGTTATTCAAGAATGAAAAGAAAAAGCTCATCTTGATTCTTGCTTGTTCCCTATCAAAATTATCTTTACTTTCTTCAAAATTGTGATAATCTAATAATTCGTTACATTTTCAACCAAATTTTAGTCCAAGATTTCGAATTTGTATTGAGTTTAGGTGTAAATTGTTTATCGTGAAGGAATAAGAGATTGTAGCAGAATTTTTTGATTCAGTAAATTGCACTGGTTCTCACAACTAAAATGAACACCTATAACCAAAAGAACAATAAGTAATTGAGATAGATAAAACAACTAAATGAATACACCAAGAACTAGGCAAAAAAGCTTCCCATCAGAAACCATAAGGCTTGCTAAAGATATTAATCGAGACAAATGAGACGTTGTGTTCATCCTTTAAAGGTTTTAAGCAATCCATATAACGTTTTAATCAACTGCAAAAGATGTTGACGAATTTTGGAGAATGCTGTTAGTACAATTTCTCTATCTTTCGGTTCTGCGATATCCAGACCAGTCTCTGGAATTGCACTTTTTGGCCATCTTTTAATCACAACTGACTGTTCCTGTGGTAAGCCGACTTCAAGTTCCTCCCAATACATTTTAGGGATTACAGTTTTGTAAAATGTAAAATTCGTGTACATTGCGCGAATAGCATATATAGTTTGATCCGAAATATCACCAGTTTGACGATTAATTTTGTCACCAACCGCAAGCATCTCGGCAGCCATTCGCGCTTCACCAAAACCTTTTGAAAGGATAATATTTTTGTATTCCAGATGTTTCTCCTGTGAAAAGAAATTACTTGAATTAATAAAAAGTAATAATTGTTTCCATAATTATAAAACATACAAACCTCTATAACCACCAAAGAAATATTATCTTTATTAATCACAAAATATGGTCTCGCTGTAATGTAATGAAAGCCTGCGATGTATAATCTGCATGGCGGGAACAGACTAAGTTTGATATAATGTCCATTTTAAGAAATTTTTGGCATACGTTGCAAAACAAACAAAATAAAAAATTAAATGCACACCTAACGCTCAAGGGATATCGATGTAGATCAATAATCCGAACTAATATATTGTTTAGTAGTCTGTCAGTAACTGCTTCATCATCGGAATCGAATTGCATAATAGTGTAGTATATATCTATTATGAATGCTTTGATATGATCATCTGAAATTTTGGCAAGAGCTTTAACATATAGTTCTTTGTCATAAAATGTGCAGCTATCTATTTCGGGAAGAAAGAATTTCTTTGGAAGGTCTGTAACTATATAATTTTTTATTTATAAGTATCGGGTACAATAAGAGAATAGTTGAAATAACATAGTTCGTACCTTTACAATCAGGGAGGACCTTGTGCTCGATAGCTGGTTGAAAGCTCACTTTTAATAGCTCTAGATCCCTTTTGCAGAATGTAGTTGTTGTAGCACTGAGTGTGTTGGGAAAACCAAGGTCCTTGAGTATTTCCTTAACCAATACTTGTGAATCTAAAAGGTGGTTTTCAAGTTTAGAAGTTGATGAGATAAATGCTGGCTTTGAAGCGCATAAACGAGAAAATCTCGTAGCGAGACTGAGCAAGAAAGACATTTTATGAAAAATCACGCTTCCGTTTATAGAACTTTGAAAAATACTTTATGGATGTAAAAAAAAAAGAATTATGATTAAAATTCCATTATAAGTCCGGAGCGTGTAGCGTAGGACAATACCAAAATGTCCGTCGCTCATCGATACGTGTTTGGTTACTTTCGTTACAGTTTCTTGTGATTGGATGTCATCATCACCTTAATTTTTGTAAAATTTTATTGTGATTGGTTAATTTTGTTATCAATTAAATCAAAATCACATGACTTCAAATTATTAGAGGACGTATTCACAAACAAAACATCCATAACTTCACAAATATTTAAGATATCCCTATAAAATATTAATATACATGAATTCCAATAACGGCAGAACATTTTACTTAAGCTCATTTGCTTGTTTTCT